TTTTTGACCCTATATTAAAATTAGAAGGTTTAGAAAGTGGATTAGATAACTTAGGTGAATTTTTAGCTATAGACACTACTGACCAGTTTCCTATTATAAAGGAAAAAATATATTCTCTATATATCTCTTACGAAAGTAGGTTTAGAAACACACCTCGTGTTGAACAACCGCAACAATGAGACGACAATCCGCATTCATTCTTGAATGTTTCAGGTTGTCTAAGAAGAAGAAGAAGAAGAAGACGACGATGAGTCAAGGTCAAGAAGAATCTGAGAGTGGAAGTGGATCTTCATCAAGAGGTGGCGGCGGGTTCAACGAGTTAATGGCGTACCTGAGTGAGGGCTTAGTTGTAGACAGTAGTGAGGTGTTTGATTTGGTTGAGTGGTGGAGGGCACGAGCATTAACTTGGCCGATCCTAACACGACTGGCAATGGATATTTTTTCAATCCCGGTCTCCACCGTTGCAGCCGAACAAGCATTCAGTACAACCGGCCGAATACTTGAAGAACGGAGAAACGCATTGCAACAGGATATTGTTGAAGCTTTGGTGTGCATCAAGGATTGAGACCGTTCCGACCAACGCTTACACGATACAATCTCACTGGCAAACCAAGAATAGATCAACGAATTTAATAGATTAACTTTTAATTTTCAAGATGATCCTTCTGCTTCATCTTGATAATTTCTTTGTAAATATTTATTTACTTTGTAATTTCTAATTTGTATAGTGTTTATTGTAATTTGTAATCTTGTATAGACTTTGTAAGTTCATCAAATTTGTAATTCGTCCCACAATGATTGCACTCTTTTTTTCTTACCAAGTTTTTATCCCAATTGGGTTTTTCTTGGTAAGGTTTTTAATGAGGCAATCATGAATTACAAATTTAAAAATCAATGAAGAAGTAATTTTTTTTGTATAGTTCGTTCGTGTCGTGTGTTCATTTCATATTTCAAATTGTAATATACACAATTACACATTGTAATTATACAAATACTTATTTCAACAGCATAAAAATATAATATAAAAAAAAATTTATGGCATCGGGTAGCCCAACCGGGCACGGGCAGGCTTCCTTTGCCCGAAGCCCGTCCATGGGAATTTTCAGGTCAGGTCGGGCAGCCCGAATTTTTGGGCAAATCAGGTTCGATCATCGGGCAAAAATTCAGACTTTTCGGTGGTCACGGGCGGCCCGTCCAAAGTTTCAGCACTGACCATGATAAATAACCCAATTTGCTTTCCTCTTTCTCATCTCTATCGCCCAAATCTTATGCCTACCCATCTCACTTCTTTCTTTAGCGTGAAGAACTCACTTCTTTCTTTAGCGTGAAGGACGATTGTTCGTTCTGATCTCTCTAAGTGACTTGGTAAATACTCTTTTTTCGTTCTTTCTCCCTGCGCTTATTGACACGTGATCTCTCTCTCACTCTCTCTCTCTCTCTGAATAAAAATACTCACTCTTCTTCTTTTCTTCTCTGCTAGGGTTTGACCTCGAATAAGGATTGAAACTCGGACGGTAACTCTTTCTCTCTCCGTCTGTTCTAAATTCTAAATATTTCTCTATCTTTCTATTTCTTCTCTTTTTTTTTAAGATTATGACTAAATTAGATGTCAATACGTAAATTTGGAGAATTAAGAAGCGATGTAGTGAATTAAATTACATTCGATTTAGGGTTTCTAGTTTAAAATGATTTTAGCTTTTTGAAAGGATGAGAGAAAGCAACGTTTTGAATGACTTATTTATGCATATAAAATTTAAGTGTCTTTTTTTGAAAGGATTTATGAGTAATTTTTCAATTCCGTACTTTTTAAAATTCTTTTCTCAAAAAGGAAAAAAAAAAAGTTCGAGTATGATCGAGGGGCAAGATATGTAAATATTGGGATAATGAAGGGCAAGAACCGTAGGCGCAAATAAACTGCGCGTTCTCTACAAATCTTTTCATATTCACACAGTAGGACTGTGAAAAAAGCCATAAAATCTAAACCGACCGTTATCGACCGAAAAATACACGGCGTGAGTGTGACGTGAAACTAAAGATAGTCCGTTCGGTTTTGGTTTAGAGGCCGATCGAATCCATTTTTTTGTTTTTTTTTTTAATGTTGTCGTTTTTACTCTCATTATCCTATCTGCTGTCGTTTTTTTTCCTCCCTCCTAAGACGTCTCCTCTGAACTCTCACTCTCTTCGTTTCTTCCATTTACTCTCTCACTCTCACAGTCTCGACTGCGGCCGCTCCAGCTCTCTCCTCAGTCCTCCTCGCACGTCCGCCCTAACACCCACCTCACCTGTGACGCTTCTCACCAATCGGCGCATATAAATTCGTGTTTCTTTTCCCGTCTCCACAAACCTTTTCATTTTCACACACAAACACACCCAAACCACGCCAAACCAAACCAGAGCCCCGGCGTTTTCATTTCTTGGTCTTCTTCTTTTCTCTTCGACGATTTTCCATCTTTTCGTCAGGTAAAATCCTCTTGATTCATCGATTTTCTCGGATTATTTTGCGGTTGCTTTTCTTCTTCTGGATTTCTTTGTTTTTTTTTTTTTTTTTTTATCGGAACTAAAATCATGTGTTTGCGCGATTGATTTTGTGATTTTCTCGGTGCGGAGTTTATATCTGAGGAATTTTTATTTGTTTTTGTTGTTGATTGTTTTTTAGAGGATTTGCTGCATTGCACTTTTTAATATTCTGTTAGTCATCTCCTTGATTATTGGGATATTTCTTTGATCTTGGTTATCACGCGTAGATTTTTCTTTTTTTTTTTATGAACCTTCCTTATCTTCCCATAAAAATAAATAAATAAAAGTAAAATATAAAAAATCTTCCTTATCATACACCTATATTTTCGAACATGTCAATGTAAAAATAAAGCTGCTTTTGCTCATCTCCGTCGCTGAGCTTGAAGATTGTCCACGATTTGATCCATCTTACTGGTATTTAGTTTTACTCTTCTCCGGTTTTCGTATATAATATAGAGCATTCAAAGCTTTTCCCTGATTTCTGATTATAATTTTCAATGTCTATGTTTTTCTTTCACATTAATTTGTGGATATAATTTCCTGTTGGGGTTTTTCTTTCGTGAGTTTTGATCTGATTTTGGGCATTGAGCTTTAATCTGATGATGTTTACGACATGATCATGGACTCGATAACATCATATTAATCTTCGTTGTGATATTTCTGTGCAAAAAGTAAATTACAACTGGGGCATGTTAGTATAAGAAAGGAGACAAAGAGAGCTTCTGCCTTATCTTATCTTTTTTCGTTTTATTTTATTTATGATCTTTAGTCTTACACTTTTTTTTCTTTTGTACCCTTAAATCATGTGTTTGCGCGGTCGATTTTGTGATTTTCTCGGTGCGGAGTTTATAGATCTGAGGAATTTTTATTTGTTTTTGTTGTTGATTGTTTTTGAGAAGTTTTTGACTGGTCTTGAGCCGGGAATCGGAATCTTTTGGGTTGATTTTGGTTTTTTATTTCGGTCAAACTGTTTAATCCTAACAATATTTAAGCGATTTTCATTTTTTGATTTGATTTTTTAATTTTTCTTTGATTCTGATGATGTTATTATTTTGTATTTTCGTTGAATAATCATCGCACCTGGAAAAGTGAATTTGTTGTATATGCTGTACCGGCTTTGTATGTGTCAAAGTTTTTTTTTTTTTTTCAATAAAAAAAATTAAAGCTTTTGTCCTTCGTACCCTAAGCAAAATGGATGAACGCATGTGTTCAAAAAAAAATGGATGAACGCATAGGTTTGGTTATTGGTGAAATCATTGGAAATACATATAAGGTCCATGACTTTGATGGTTTTTCTCGTGTCTTAGATTTTGTTGCCACAAAATCATTCAATTTTAACATGTAAATGACAGATGTCGATGATGTCTCGATCCATCATCCAAATTTCTCGAGATGGCTTGATCTCGATGTTGACTCGATCATATGCTACAAGGTCCCCGTTTTGGCACTTTTATGAATGGCAAAAAATGCGCTCCCAACAACCCCTGAAAAATGAGTATGAAGAAGAATTTTTGAAGGTGTTTCCTTCGGGGATAGTGTACTTACCAATGGAGGATGGCCGCTCGGATTTTAATGAAGAAGAAAAAAGAGTGCTGGAACGTTATTTCAAATCTTATCCTCAAAGATGCGGTATGTTTTCTATCAAGGCATGCTATTGTGTCATTAATTTGGTTGCACTAAATCACTAATTTCTTTTTGATATAATTCTCTAGGGGGCTCAAGGAGAATGATCGTGAGAGAGAACTTGAAGGAAGAAAACTGCAAGGAAGTTGAACCCTCTAGGGTATTGGCATTTCACTTTGTGGTCCTCAATTGAATCATCTTTATTTTATTTTATTTTATTTTTTCTTGTTTTATATATGCATTTATATTTGACCATAGTTTTCATGTTTATTAGGTCACAGAAGCGGGAGCAGTTTTGGCACTTGAGAAAAATAATTAACAAAAAAGTGGTAATAATACTCGTGTTGATTTGTCAACTACAAAAAGTATTCTTGTGGATTAACATCCAGTAGACTTTTTGGGCGGTGAAATTTGACTTTAGTTTTGTTTTGCTTTGCTTTTCTTCTTTTATTTTTTGTTTCTTTTAGGGCGATTGACAATCGGAAAAGTTGTGGTATAGACAGTGTTCATTGTGTTGATAAGTTATAAGTTTGGTTTCTAAGTTACGTGTTATGTGGTTTAAACTTAAAGTATGTGGTTTCTGCTAGTTTTTATTTGTTTTTCTTTGCTCTAAGGAGTTGCTTATATTAAATTGATGATGACACAAATATATGTTGGCTTGTTTTATTTACTATACCCTGTTATTGTTCCCTCCATATTCATTGCTTAGCCTAGATGTTGTCTCAAATGATTTGGAAATGGGATATTTACGATTTTATACTTTGCATTTTTAGTTTAATATACTTTGCATTTTTAATGCTGTCGATAAAATACCTCTCAGAATTTCATCTCTGCATGAAATTTTGTAACTTTTCTTGGTGAAAAGTTGATTGTGATTTATAGATTGATGAATTTACCCATTCTAACTTATAAACAAACTTGAAATGAATTACTAATTGCTAGTACTCTGCAACTTAGCTTGAAAATAACACTTTTATGATTTTTTTCTTTGTTTTATTAAACATTACATACGAATTTTTAGCAACAAGATCGTCTATAGGCTTGAAAGGGTAATTTGTCCCTTTTTTTTTTTTTTTAATTTCAAAACTATAGGTGCGATCTTGTAAACACACAAAAATGTAAGGCTCTTTTTTACTACTCTTAAAATGCAAGGTATAAAATAGAAAATAACGCTTCTTATGGTCAATAAAAATTGACCAAAGGTGATAAGATTATTGATATTTCAACAGGAGGATAATGAGCAATGAACTATTGTGGCTTGGTGGGGGCTATGTTTTTCTTGCATTTCAACCATTTAATTTGTATAAACGAGTTTTTTTTTTTTTTTTTTTTTTTTTTTTTTTTTTTTTTTTTTTTTTCTAGAGCCGGTATATAAACGATTGGTAGTTAGAAGTGTTCACTAAAATGAAATGTGGCTGCCAAAGCACAAACGTTAAGCAATTATCCTTCACCACTGCATTTGCATTTTAATTTCGAAAGAAAATATTTAAAAACATGTTTTCAAATTCAGTCTGCAAAACGCATATTCATTCTTTACAGTGATGAACACTTTTATTGAGGAAAGTGCTCAAAAGGAATTTTTTTTTTTTTCCTTGTCAATATCAATTCAAGTCTGAGAAAGGCCAAACAAGGATTATAGAAACCCTGAAAAAAAATGAGTAGAATGATAGCAAGCAGAAAGATCAACTAATGTATGTTTTAAAAATAGAAGATCATGACATCAAAAGAATAGAATATATAGAGATTGATTGCTACTATAATAACGAAAATTTGCAAATAACCTCTTTATTAAAAAGTTTAAAGTCAGTACAAATACATCAATAAGCAAATACAACAGATTAACAATCAAATAATTACACAAAAGAAAAACAAATCAACCCCCCCCAAATCGTAGAGAAATATTGAATAATTAATTCATGGTTACATTTAGAATCAAGCTTGAAGACTTGTATAAGACGCTCAAAAGGATGATTCTTCACTATCTGTGTAATTTGGGATTGTAACAAAACATTGCAATTGGAACAGAGTATATATCCAATATGCAGCTCAGAAATACTTTCAAGTATGAACGAAAGCTAGCACAATGCAGATTTGTTAAGTCCACTCGACATATTTGGTCACACAAACTCAAGGAATTCTATAATTTCATTATGTGTGTGTGTGTGTGCGCCATGAAAATGCTTTTAATAATATGGTGAAGTTGCATATTATTCCATTGTTTGGTACATATTTATGTATATGCACGTAGAGGAGAGTTCTGGAATAATACAACGAATTGGGTGGAAAATCACATTAAAGAGAATGAAATAATAATAATAATAATATGTAGATGTATATATTTATCTTGATTCTATAATTGAGTGCAACTTGCTAAAATTAAGAGTTTAAAAGGTAAATTGCTAAAATAAAACCCTATAAATTTAGGGGACAAACGTGTAAAATACCCTAATTTTTTCCTCAAATATATGAGCATGTGTAAAGATCTCTTTCCTTTACCCCTTTCAAATAATATTTTTTCAAATATATCTCTTAAATAATGTACTCCTTAATTTGTCTCTCAGTATTTTCTTCAAATTTATACCTTTTTTTTATGAAAAGAAATCTATTTTATGTACTTAAATACTTCTTTTTCCCATTTTTTTAATGCACGTGCTTTTAAATGGACAATAACGAACGTGGCATTTATGTGAGAGCTTTCAATTTACTATTTTGACTCTTCTGTTTCTCCTCTATGTTTCTTGCATATCTAGAGTTTACTTTTAGTTACTCGGACTATGAGCTCCAGGACTTTGATAGTTGTAGTGAGCCTTGATTAACTTCTCGTGTCTTGGATTTGGTTGCCATGAAATTGTTCAAAGTACTTAACATGATGTAAATGACAGAAGTTGAAGATGTCTCGATCCATTATCCTAATGTGTTGAGTTGGCTCGATCTCGACGTTGACTCGGTCATATGCTACGAGGTCCTCCTCATTGCCGAAGCGGAGCACCTCTAAGCATGGCCGAATGGGAAAAAATTATCTTTCAACTCCCAAAAAATAAGTTTCAAGAAGAATTTTGCAAGGTGTTTCCTTTGGGAAAAGTGACCTTACAAAGGGAGGATGGCCGTTGACATTTTAATGAAAAAGAAATCAAATTGTTGGAACGTAGTGTCCTACGTTCTAAAAGAACCGGTATCTTTTCTTTCAAGGCACGTTATCGTGTCATTAATTTGATTACACTAAATCACTAATTGCTTTTTTATTTTTCTTTTGGTGGATTAGGACCAGTGATAGTGACGACAAACTGCAAAATGTTGAACCCTCTAAGGTATTGGCATTTCGCTTTGTAGTCCTCAATTGAGTAATTTTTACCCTTCTATGTTTGTTTTTGTTCTATGTTGCATTTGCATTTGACCATGGTTTTCATGTTGTTTATTAGGTCGCAAAAGCAGAAGCTGGAGCAGTTTTGGCACTTGGAAAAAAAATTAATGAAAAATAGTTAATAATACTTGTGTTTTTGTCAACTATAAAAAGTATTCTTCTGGATTAACATCCAATAGACTTCTTAGGTGATACGATTTGGCTTAATTACGTTGTGTTTTGTTTTTCTTCTTTCAAATTTTGTTTGTGTTTAGGGCAATTGACACTCTAGAAAGTGGTTTGCTCCTAACTTTGGAGGCCTCTCTGCCATTGTGTTTTGTGGTGTAGACAATGTTCATCGTAGTTATATGGTTTAGAAGTTATGTGTTATGATCCAAAATGTAGAGTTTTTTTTTTTTTTTTTTTTTTTTTTTTTAATTTTACACTAGATGCAAGGTATAAACTAGAAAATAACCTTTGCAATTGTCAATAAAAACTGACCATAAAGGGATATGATTATAGATACTTTAATATGAGCACTATGAGAATTGAACTTTTATGGGTTGGTTAGGCTTACGTTTTTCTTGCTGAAAGTTTATGGGGGGTTTAATTGGATGTTGATTCTTCAAAATAGCTAAAAAGCGGGTAAGAAACACAAGAAATAAAAACTCTAACAGTTTGGACGAAAATTTATGAGCAATTTTATCATGAAGAGTGACCAAGGCATATCACCTTTTTTTTCCATTTAATCTTTATGAAAAATATCAGTGGTGTTTAATGCCTAATTCACCTTGCCTTTTATTAATTTTCTCTACTATATTATGTTTTGAGTATGACCGCTCTCATTCTACTTTCCTTACACATATTCTTATACCAACCATTAATTAAATTTAAGGACCGTCTCTGATAAGCTGCCCTACTAGTATGACCAGTTTTTTGACTATTAAATCTGACTAAAATTAAATGAGATTGAAAAAGTATGCAGAACATACAGTTTTTGATATAAATCTGACGGCTAAAAATGGCTGAAAAAAATAAAACTACCAGTAGTTCTATTTTTCTAATCCTACGCGAGAAACTTCCTTTTTCAAAAAAAAAAAAAAAAAAACAGAGAAACTCCCTTTTTAATTATGACTTGTTACATCCCTCTTATTATTCCAAATGAGCCTTTACAACTATATTGCATTGTTTCTCCTTTTTTTTCACCCAATAATCCTTTTTTCTTTCTTTCTTTTTTTTTTTTTTTGAAAAATCCATTTTCTCCTTGTTTCTCTGTTTTCTCCCATATTTCTTCTTCTCATAAAATAAAATATAACATTGTTGAGATCATATATAAGAATCATAGTAAGGATGGTATTAAGACCATATTTAACCGACTTTTCTTTCCCTAGGAAGTCTAGAACCAGTACATAGACAGATAAACAATTGGTATTCAGAAATGTCCACTGAAATAAAATGTGCCGGCCAAAGCACAAACGTTAACGGATTATCCTTCACCACTGCATTTGCATTCTAATCTCAAAAGAAAAGTATTTAGAAACATGTTTTCAAATTAAAGTCTGCAAAACATATTTTCATTTTTTTACAATGCTGGAAAGTGCTCAAAAGGACTTTTTTTTTTTCTTGTCAAAGATCAATTCAAGTCTGAGTAAGGCCAACTCGGAATAGAAAATGCTAACGCATGATTTGGGAACAGAAGATCCTGATATCAAAAGAACAGAAAATTGCTCCTGTAGTAACGAAAATTGGCAAATGGCATCTTCAGTATAGAGTTTGAGGTTTCTATAAGCAAATACATTAGATCAACAATCAAATAATTACACAGAAGGAAAATAAATCAACCCCCCCAAATATTAGAGATATAGAATAATTAATCCCCGGTTACATTTAAAATCAAGCTCGAAGCTTTATAAGACGCTCAAAAGGATAATTCTTCACCATCAGTGTAATTTGGGAATGTAACACATTTAAAAACTTTGCAACTGGAACAGAGTACATATCCAATCTGCAACACAACAATACGTTCATGTACAAACAAAAGCTTGCAAAATGCAAATTTTTATTGAGTGAGTTCAACATATTTGGTCACACAAACTCAAGGAATTACTGCGTAATTTTCATTATTGACCATATAAATGCAATTTGTTAAGTTGGCCTATGAAGTGGAATTTAGTAAGAAATCAAACAATAAAATAAAAGCACAAACAAACTTACGGCTCGACAAGATGGGCATCGACGGTAGATGCGCTTGTTGTCGGCCTTAACGTTGGTTTTTTGCCCTTTACAAAAGTCACATACTAACCATCCTCTACCATTGCAAGGTTCACACAAAATCCCTGCATCACTCTTCAAAATAACTGAACAAGAATTAAAATTAAGCACCAATGTAAATGATCTTCAATTAAGGTCCTTGGTGGAAAAAATATGCTCAGTTGAACATTATATCTGAAATTGGAAATTTAACTACCTGTTGTTGTTCTTGTTCTTGTTGTTGGACTTGCTGGGCTGGCGCGCAACGCGCCGGCTTCAAGAAGCGAAACGGCGACGTCGATGTTGACGACGATGGCGAAATTCGTGAAGAACTGAAAATTGGCGGGGCAATAGACATCCTCAGAATAGCCATTGGAGTGAGTTCCTCCCGCGAGAACCAGATGCCTTCCATGCCACACATACCATCTTTTACTACGTTATCCAACTAGTCATTACATTGACAATATTCTCCTTCACGTTTCTCCACAATTACAATTCTACCATCACCCAAAAAAAAAAAAAAAAAACCTGGTTGTTTTGTAATTGGCGCTTCTTGACTCTTGTAGACTTGAATTAACATAGAAGTAAAAGGCTAAACTTGAACCAAATCACCCCCCGAGACGCGGTTATTGGTAATATTTTCTTTGCTCAGTTGCTGATCTACATTTGGGTTTTAGGAGGCGTATGTGAAAGATAAATCCAAATGCAAATTGATTGGTTTTTTTGGTTCTTAATGAACTGTAAAGAGATGCGTTTCAAGCATTTTTAAAATTTTTTTTAACATAATTAATCCTCTGTGCAGCAAAAGGCCTCCTTAGCAAAGAAAGCCAGTGAAACATTGAGATTATTTTTGAAGTAGAGTATTTTTTTTCATTAGTTTATAAGTCCTGAGGATATTTTTGACGGGTTTTATTTGGATAATCATTTTTCTTTAAGAACATTGGATAATCAATAGTTTAAAAGACCAAAATGACGATAAAATTATAATCATACTTATAACTCCGATGTTATAAGTTACAAAAATATTCTTATGAATTTTTTTTTTTCTTTTTTTACATGGTCAGTTTCTTTACTCCTGCTTTAAGTTGTTCGTCGCTTGCTATACTGCGCTAGTCAACAAGCTTAAGCTGAAACTCCAAAACAAAACAAAAGGAAAGTCGAAATAAATTCCACTTGAGATTCGTCTATCAGAGAACGTCGTTTTCTTCAAACGACGACAAACATGAATCTCGTTTCAACAATCCAAACACTCTTCGTCTCCTTCTTCTTCGTCTTCTTCTTCAAGCCTTCGCTCTCTCTCCGAACCCTGACCTCCGATCCGTGCGATTCGACGGCATTGCGGGACCCACGAACTCTCCGGTCGGACCAAATCACGGTACTGATCAACGGCTACTCCGAGTCCCGCATCCCTCTCCTCCAATCCCTCGCCGCCACGTACTCCGCCTCTCCGCTCGTCTCCGCCGTGTTCATTCTCTGGGGAAACCCCTCCACTCCGTCCCAAACCCTAGCCGAATTCTCCCACAATCTCACCGCTTTCTCCTTCGGATCCGCTCCGATCTCCCTGATCCGCCAATCCTCGCCCAGCCTCAACGCGCGGTTCCTCCCCAGACCGTCCATCGCCACCGTCGCTGTCCTGATCTGCGACGACGACGTCGAGATCGACGCGAAATCGTTCGCCTTCGCCTTCAGGGTGTGGGAATCGAATCCGGACCGTCTGATCGGGTTCTTCGCGAGATCGCACGACATCGATTTGACGAGGAAGAAGTGGATCTACACCATCCATCCGGACAAGTACTCGATCGTGCTGACGAAGTTCATGATCTTGAAGAACCGGTACCTGTTCGAGTACAGCTGCGGAGGCGGCTCTGCGATGGCGCGTGCGAGGAGCGTGGTCGACCGGGCCCGTAACTGCGAGGATATACTGATGAATTTTGTGGTGGCGGAGGAGACGGGGGCCGGGCCGGTTTTGGTGGGGGCTAACTGGGCCCGGGATTGGGGAGATGCGAGAAATGAGGATATTGGTGATGGTGATGGACGGCGGGGATTGAGCGGAACGGTGGCTCAGGTGGGGCTGAGCAGTAGGAGAGCGGAGCACAGGAAGAGGAGAGGGGAGTGTATAAGTGAGTTTCATAGAGTTCTTGGGAAAATGGCTTTGAGGTATAGTTATGGCAAGGTTGTAAATTCCGTCGGTGAACAGGGGCTTTGTCAGAAAGGAGGGAAACTAGTGTTCTGTGATCAGAATTAATTTTGAGTTTATTTCAGGAAAAAAAAAAAGAATTAATTTTTAGTGTTGTTGATTATTCCTTTTGTTGAATTTTTTGTATTTTGTGTTTCAAAAAATAAATAAATAAATAAATAAAAAGGAGGAACACGTTTGGACGGCAGAGGGTTGGGGCCATTGTTAAAAGGTTTAAGTTTTCTCAATAATAGATAAATAAGAGAATCTACCGGAAAATATTTAGCTCGTTCATTTTACTGATTTAAATTTTTAATTTTAAGTTGTTACAGTAAAAAATTTTTAAAAAATATCATATTAAAATTTTTTATTGCAGTAAAAAATTTTTATTAAATATCACATCTTAACTTAAATTAAAAATTTAAATTTACGAAATGAACGAGATCTTAAAACCGCGCATATGAAAGATACCCGTGATCGTCAATAATCTCGACTCCACTGCCAATGTAATCCATGTTCTCCTTAACCGAATCATCAACATTGGAGGATGCCAACTCTGGGATTGGGAAAAGCTTCTAACTTTAGCTCAGGCAACGATAAAAATCTATAGGATGTTTTAAAAGTTCGTCTTTGATTTTAAAAAATCTATAGGATGTTTGTTTAAATATTTGTCTTTGATTTTAAATTATTTTTTAATTTTTTATAATATTTTTTTCTTATAACAAATTTAAAATTTAAAAATTAAAATTATAAATTATAGATCTGAAGTCATCAGGCTCAGCAATAGAAACGAGGCAATTAAAAAAAGAAATAATCTTCAAACGACAACAACTAAAGAAAATGGCAAGAACCTGAAACGCAATGCATGTGAAAAGTGAACAGTGACTATGGCGAGCAACATCTTAAAACGACGCGATTAGAGGAAATAGTACTACAGAATCTTAACAAGAACAAAAAAGAGACAATCATATAAAAACGACAAAAACTATAGAAACAACAATAATCTTGAGAGATGACAAGTTAGGAAAAAATGATATCATGTCCGAAATGGGGTAATATTTTTTTTTTGTCCTTATTATATTAAAAATGATCTACTTCTTTTCCCTAATTGGCTCATTAAAATGATTTTTTTCCACATATAGTTTTTACTTAAATAATTTTCTGCATAGCCTCTCAGTTTATTATTATTTGATAAATGATATTTTCTTTAATTTATCCCCGGAAAAGTAATTCTTCTTAAATATGTATTTTCTATTTTTTTTTTTCTTGTAGCCCTTTCAACGGTTGTTTTTTCATGTGCACTTTCTAATTAACTTTTCATATTTATATAAAAAAAAGCATGTTTTGATTGAAACATAGATTTCAATCGTGTTTTTTTTTTTTTGGATTTAAATCTTATATGCTAAATAAGCCGTACATTTTTTTTACTAATTTCCCCATATTAAAAGTGTTTTTCGTAAATATATCCATATTTAGAATTATTTTTTTGGTCTTCCAAACCTAGGAATACACTACCGTATGTTTTTTTTTTTTTTTTTTGTTTCCTTATCGATGACCGTATCATCCACCGGCTCGGTTTTTTTCAAATTGAAATTGGGTCCTACATATCCCTGCTAATTGAAGAAAAAGTGGCACACAAAATTATCATCAGCCTCATTAATATTTGACCAGACCATGTTTGAAGGTTTGAAGTTAAAAACAAGAAAACAAAAGCACAGCAAAAAAAATCATAAATCTTTTTCCAATCTCCGGCGCCGACCGGCTCAGTTGCTGGAGATAGCCATATCAACCAATTTGAAGGTCGGTGATGTCAAATGAGGAATGGGTTTGCATCACCATCAGTCGAGGAGTGGAAATGGGTTAGCTTTCGTCGAGGGGATCCTCGATCGTGGGGATATGGCCGTCGTCGTGCCTTTCGGCGTTGTCGGCGTCAGACCCCAGCGACATCGTGGTTCTTTTATGTTCTAACAACCTGCTTTTCACGATTAAAAAAATAAATAAATTCTGACTATAACAATGACATGGTTTTTTTTAATTATTTTTTATTTTGAAGGCAATGGCATGAAGACTCGAAACACCTAACGAGTGCGTTTTTTTAAAGAGTTATTTGTTCCCTCGTGAGATTGCTTACAAGTTTTAATTATAAGATTTTGTTTAGTTTACTAATTTAAATTTTTAATTTGAATTAATATGTAATTTTATGTAAAAAAAATTTATTATAGTAAAAAAGTTAGATATGATTATTTTTTAGAGTTTTTTACTGTAACAAAACTCGAATTTTAAATTCGAATCGGTGAAATGAATGGAGCTTAAATCTCCTCCAAAATATGATAAGGCTTTTGTGTGTTTTTGTATTAAAGCAAAAGTGAAAAAGAAAAAAAAAAAAAACAAACAAAAAAAACAAGAACAGAGGATGTAATTTTTCGGCAAGAAATAAAAATAGAATTTCAATGTACATTGTTATAATCACGTTTTCCTTATTTATAATTAAATGGCAATCCTTATACAGGTGCTGCCCAATCAGAAAGGTTAATTATTTAATTTATTTTTTAAAATTAAAAGTAATAATAAATATTATTTTATGTAGTATTTTGTATAAGCACCTATACAACCTCATTGTCCACATCATGCTCGCGTGTGCAAGCTACGAGAGACTTATGTTGTCACGAGTCTGTTTGGTTCATGGATTAGAATCATGAGATTATAGCTATTTTTAATTTACGTGTGTTTTTTATGAGAGAAAATACTGTAGCGAACCATGAACTATGATTCGAATTAGAGAACGAATCCTTCAACCAAACAGGCTCGATCAACCCACTTATTTATATGGTGGTTTAAAAAGTGCTATTACTCTTTGGATTTTAGTTCACTGATTTGAGTTTTTTATTCGAGTTAAGATGTGTAAGAGCTTATTTTACTGTAATAAAAAAATTAGATGCAACTGTTTCTAAAAACTTTTTATTATAATAAAATTTAAATTCTAAACTCGAATCGGTAAAATAAATGGAGCCGTCTAAATTTTCAAATTCCAATGTAAGATTATGGTTGTCAAGCTACAGACCTTCTTCTTATATTTAAACTTGGTTCTTTATATTATTGGGGAAAAAAAACAATGGTTGTGTTCAAGTTAAAACTGTAGGGGATGTTTGGTTCATGGATTCAGAACTATGATTCAGAACTATTCTCGTTTTACGTGTATTTTTTATGAGAAAAAATACTGTAGCGAACCACGAATCATGATTCGAATCATGACACGAATCCCCTAAATATGTTCTTCAGTCTCGTGAATGTCATTATTTCTGAATGTTTGTATATTTCTTTTGACGAGTTTGAAATTTTTTTATTTTAAAGGACAATAGATATGGACTTTTCAGAATCTGAGATCTAAAACAAACGGGGAAAGCTTTGTTTAAGGAAAAACCGGGGCATCAAATGGGGAAGCAAATGCGGAATACACCCTTTAAGGAAAAGAAAAAAAAAAAAAAAAAAAAAAAAAACCCCAAAAAACGTCCAAAAAAACAAAAAAAGAAAATTGTAGTAAATAGCATAATTATAAAATTAAATTAATTAAATAAAATATTTTAATATTATTTGAGGTAAATAATAGTTTTTAAGTTATAAATGAGTCATTTAACGTGTAAATGATTCATTTACGACTAATAATAAATAATTTAGTAGTAAAATATCTTTGTATACGTGGAAAAAAAATCTTTTTACCAGTCGTCAACAAAATTATAATGAAAAGATATTTTTACTAGCCATAAATGAACTTTATTTTACCACGTAAATTGCTATTTATTTTAAATAGCTTTAAAATCTGTTATTTACTTCATTTAGTTTCATAAGTCTGATATTTACTATATTCTCTCAACAAAAAAGAGGGAAGAAAAAAATGAGGAATAGTATCATAAGTCTATTGTTTCAATTTTTACTAGTTGTGTTTTGGCCAGTTAAAAAAGAGGAATATTTGGTCGTGTTTAGAATTGATCATGTTTTTGTTTTTCACGTTTTTCGAAACAGAAAAAATGAAAACGTTTCTAAAACGACGTTTGGCGCAATAAAGATAAAAAATAAAAATAAAAATAATTTTTTAGTTTAGTGTAAAATGAGAGAAATGAAAAATGACTTTTAGTCGGTTTTTATTTTTTGTTTTCGTTTTCTCTCTGGAGCAGAGAGAGGGAGACATTAATGGTTTTTTTATACTGAAAATAATCTCTTAATAAAATTACCAAACGCATTTTTAAAAATAATTTATATCTAAAATTAAAAATATTTTTATTTTCATTTTTATATAAAAAATAAAATTATTTTAAAACGAATTCCAAACACGCCTTTGTATCCGGAAGCCTCTATACGGGCCTCTTTACGTAAACTCTTTTACCGAATTCTGAAATAATGGTTTTTTTTCTTCAGATGTGTATTGTGTATGTACTCAAACATTATTTTTCCACACCCCTTTTAAATGTTATTTTCTCAAATATACATCACCTAAATAACTTATGATGCCGTTTTTCCTGTTAACTTATTTTTTATTTTCTCAAAACATGTTTATATAATATTTTTGTCCTAAATTAAATGCTTAAGAGAATGATAAATTATTTTAAAAAAAAAATTAAACCTTTATGAAAATTTTACATTCCCGTACTAAAAAATCTCTTTGACACTGAATACGCACGTGAATGGTGAAAACACGTGCTTTCTAAATTTTTTTTTTTTAGGAATTGAATAAGTTCAAAATTCCAAAAATAATAATAATAAAAAATAAATAAATATAAAATATGGCGGTTGATGGGATTCCGGGCAGCTCCAGAAGGGCCAGAAATTTCCAGAAACAGAGAGAATAGAAGACAAAGTGAGATGTTGCTTTTCAAGACCTGAAAAGAACACGAGTAACAACTGTTTGGGTATTGAATCGTCGATAATTCTGTAAGAAAAGTCTTCTAATTCTCGTCGAAACCAAAGAGAAGAAAGAAATGAAGCGCAAAGACTACGAAGACAAATACGACAATTTCTCTTCAATTTATCTCTCTTCTCCTTCTGCTAAGTCCAGGAGACTGGTACGCACCCATTCTTTCTTAGTCCTTTTTCTTTTATTCTCGAATTTTTGTGAAGAAATTTGATGTTATTTCGCTTAAAATTTCGCCACAGTGATCTGTTTCCTCAAAGTTTGTTGAATTTTTCGATTATGTGATTTTATTATTATTATTATTATTTAAATTTTTTTTTTTGTGAAATTTAAGGATCCGGACTTACTTCCGTTAACAAATGAAGACCCAATTAGCAGTGGAATCTCTGATTCTGAGGTTGTTGAACCTTTAACAAGCTCACCAACAACTGATGATTTGGGTTTGGCTAGTAGGCCGCCTTCTGGTGGTGGTGGTGATTGTTGCAATGAGAAAGCTCTTGTGCTTTACAGTTCAACAAACACTCTTTTTTTCAAGCCCCCAACTTCACCTGATTTCTCTGTCGTTGTTAACTCCGATTTGATCCCTGGTTTAAGGGGTAAGTGGATATTTTTTTATGCTTATTAGTCGTTATTTGTTTTCATTTTTGTGAGTAAGTGGCTTAATTTTTTTATTTTTATTTTTTATATAAGACATAATCGAACCCGCAACCTTCATCAAAACCCGCAACCTAAAAAGACATTTGGAAGAATCATATTTTGAATCATGGTTCGTGATTCGTGACAGTATTCTCTCATAAAAAATATATATAAAACGAGAATAATTCTGAATCATAATTCTGAATTCATCAACCAAACATCCAGTAAGTACTGTGATTTTATAGTCGTTATTTATGCTTTAGAATCCCGAGTCAATGATTTGGTCTATAGTGTCTCATTTTATTTTGCAATTCTGACATTCGAATTTGGCTAGTATGTCGTTTCTTTTGATGCAATTCACACACAACTCTAGACACTTTTAAGGTTTACAAGTCTATCATTCTATTTTGTAATTTCAATGTCCAAGTTCGCAAGTATATCATACCTCATCGCGTCGCCGCCGTAGAACAATCCCAAGTGAAATCAAGCATTTGGTAGAGAACATTGGACATTCACTTGTGACTTGGTGTGTATTATTGAATCGGATTGATTATCAGGAAGGGCATTGGAGCTTCACCTAATTTCATGGCTTCAACTGATCAATATCATTTTTACCATCTGTATAGATCAATTCATTCTGCTGGGGAATTCAAATATGGTCAGACCAATGAAGGATGCATTAATAGCCAAAGACAAGATCACAGATATTTCGGATGATCGTTTGGCAGTTGTTCCTTGGGTTGGAACACGAGCAGGGCCTCAAGTGGCGGGTATGTCAGCGACCATGGAAGCTGAGGAGGTTGAAATGATGGACACCGATGACGATTCTGATGGCAGAGGGACAGCGGCTATTCCAGCAGGAGGAGCGGCAGGTGGAGCTGGAGGATTACAACAATGGCAGCGGGAACATTGTTTGAGACCTGAGCTTGTCCAAAACACTTGCACTCCTGTTACTTGGTAACAAATTGGTTGGTGGTTCTTAGTCTAGTGGTAAACCTGAAATGTTGTGCCTTTTTGATTAAAATGTACATATTGAATTGAATCATGGGTCATGACAACCTCGGTTTGTATGGAACTAAATTGCCCTTCATATTGTATTGAATTATGAAATTTTGGCTTATCCTTTTGGTTTTTTAAATCACGCTACACTCTACAGTTTCAAACGATACTCCTTATTAATCTTCTGCCAAGAGGGTACCTTGAGTCCTGAAGTACCAAATTTACCACGTGGTTGTTACTTTGAACAAACAGTTAAAAAGAAACAAATGAGATACACCCAAATTTTATTTACCACAATTGAAATAAAAATTTAACCGTGAAAAAGAAAAGGGTAAAAAAATCCAAAAATGTACTTAGGCTTACTAGACCAGCTTCAGTGTCAACTCAGCAAGTCTGAAGAGCAAAAGAAATCGCTTTACGAGCAGTTCAACACCTCCTTTGTCACCGAATTAAACAAAGGGGCTGCCTGAATAACTACTCGAACAATAAACTATTATCACAACTTTTTTTTTTTTTGGAAAATATTATGCAAGACCAAACAAACGACTTTTTATGACAAAATTAAATACCATAAAAAAGACAATTAAAAGAACAAAAAAAAAAATTAATCAGCCTAGCCAAAAGAAATTCGCTAAAAAAAAAAAAATCAGTAGCAAATGATGATGGCGAGGTTGAGAGGTTTTTATTGGGAGCTGCATTCATCTCTAAGGCACTGTGTTTTATAGCCAAAGAGCCAAACTCCAGCCCCTTTCGTTCTCTCAAAAACAAATAAAACTTAAAAAAGGAAAATCTCAAATTCAATAGGGAAGCGAATCGATTAACGTAGAAAATAGTAGTCACAGATAGAAGAACCAAAATCTCTTCTTCAGTTGATTCTGCGTTAATCGGCGGAAACCCTAATTCCATCTTCAAGTACGATGGCAATTGGAGTTTCCAACTATTATATAGGGAGGATCTTGTCGGACATTTACGCATTTGCCCCTCCAGAACTTTCGGTTCTCTCATTATTATTATTATTATTATTTAAATTTTTTTTTTTGTGAAATTTAAGGATCCGGACTTACTTCCGTTAACAAATGAAGACCCAATTAGCAGTGGAATCTCTGATTCTGAGGTTGTTGAACCTTTAACAAGCTCACCAACAACTGATGATTTGGGTTTGGCTAGTAGGCCGCCTTCTGGTGGTGGTGGTGATTGTTGCAATGAGAAAGCTCTTGTGCTTTACAGTTCAACAAACACTCTTTTTTTCAAGCCCCCAACTTCACCTGATTTCTCTGTCGTTGTTAACTCCGATTTGATCCCTGGTTTAAGGGGTAAGTGGATATTTTTTTATGCTTATTAGTCGTTATTTGTTTTCATTTTTGTGAGTAAGTGGCTTAATTTTTTTATTTTTATTTTTTATATAAGACATAATCGAACCCGCAACCTTCATCAAAACCCGCAACCTAAAAAGACATTTGGAAGAATCATATTTTGAATCATGGTTCGTGACTCGTGACAGTATTCTCTCATAAAAAATATATATAAAACGAGAATAATTCTGAATCATAATTCTGAATTCATCAACCAAACATCCAGTAAGTACTGTGATTTTATAGTCGTTATTTATGCTTTAGAATCCCGAGTCAATGATTTGGTCTATAGTGTCTCATTTTATTTTGCAATTCTGACATTCGAATTTGGCTAGTATGTCGTTTCTTTTGATGCAATTCACACACAACTCTAGACACTTTTAAGGTTTACAAGTCTATCATTCTATTTTGTAATTTCAATGTCCAAGTTCGCAAGTATATCATACCTCATCGCGTCGCCGCCGTAGAACAATCCCAAGTGAAATCAAGCATTTGGTAGAGAACATTGGACATTCACTTGTGACTTGGTGTGTATTATTGAATCGGATTGATTATCAGGAAGGGCATTGGAGCTTCACCTAATTTCATGGCTTCAACTGATCAATATCATTTTTACCATCTGTATAGATCAATTCATTCTGCTGGGGAATTCAAATATGGTCAGACCAATGAAGGATGCATTAATAGCCAAAGACAAGATCACAGATATTTCGGATGATCGTTTGGCAGTTGTTCCTTGGGTTGGAACACGAGCAGGGCCTCAAGTGGCGCCCCCCCCGAGGATTTTGTACCCACCGGAACTTGGTCACCAAGCCAAGCTCGTAAGGACCGGTTTTTGTGCTTGCTTTCCTATAATCGTACGGTGAAAATAGAAGAGCGTTGCAAAGAAATATATCATCATGCAGAATCCAAAGTGATTACAGCGCAAGCGTTTTACCCCTTTAAATTGTATTGGATGGAACTAAATTGCCCTTCATATTGTATTGAATTATGAAATTTTGGCTTATCCTTTTGGTTTTTTAAATCACGCTACACTCTACAGTTTCAAACGATACTCCTTATTAATCTTCTGCCAAGAGGGTACCTTGAGTCCTGAAGTACCAAATTTACCACGTGGTTGTTACTTTGAACAAACAGTTAAAAAGAAACAAATGAGATACACCCAAATTTTATTTACCACAATTGAAATAAAAATTTAACCGTGAAAAAGAAAAGGGTAAAAAAATCCAAAAATGTACTTAGGCTTACTAGACCAGCTTCAGTGTCAACTCAGCAAGTCTGAAGAGCAAAAGAAATCGCTTTACGAGCAGTTCAACACCTCCTTTGTCACCGAATTAAACAAAGGGGCTGCCTGAATAACTACTCGAACAATAAACTATTATCACAACTTTTTTTTTTTTTGGAAAATATTATGCAAGACCAAACAAACGACTTTTTATGACAAAATTAAATACCATAAAAAAGACAATTAAAAGAACAAAAAAAAAAATGTATCAGCCTAGCCAAAAGAAATTCGCTAAAAAAAAAAAAATCAGTAGCAAATGATGATGGCGAGGTTGAGAGGTTTTTATTGGGAGCTGCATTCATCTCTAAGGCACTGTGTTTTATAGCCAAAGAGCCAAACTCCAGCCCCTTTCGTTCTCTCAAAAACAAATAAAACTTAAAAAAGGAAAATCTCAAATTCAATAGGGAAGCGAATCGATTAACGTAGAAAATAGTAGTCACAGATAGAAGAACCAAAATCTCTTCTTCAGTTGATTCTGCGTTAATCGGCGGAAACCCTAATTCCATCTTCAAGTACGATGGCAATTGGAGTTTCCAACTATTATATAGGGAGGATCTTGTCGGACATTTACGCATTTGCCCCTCCAGAACTTTCGGTTCTCTCAGATCATGGGCTTGCGCCGTTGTATAATAGGGCCTAATGGGTTGGGAGCCCAAATAACGGATTTGCACATGGGCCTTATAGTTCTTAGGAGAGAGGAACAAGTATCAATTTTTTTTATTTGAATTAAATAACACATTTATTGGTAAATAAATTATTTATCTCCTTAAAAAAAAATATTCATCATCAAAATATTATTTATTTGAAAATACTCTATTTATTTTAAACAAGTTTGAGAAAAATGTTGTTTACTCACTTTGCTCATTCTAGCGGCAAGAGCCGATTACAATTTTGCTTACTTATTGGTTGTCTTTCTAATACTGTTTTTATAAATTATGTAACTTCTTAATCAGTTTTATTATTTTGCATTTATCATGTGATCAAATTCTTAAATTTGAATGGGTCGTTAAAAGTATATTCGAAGAACATTCAACTGGATAGGAAATTCATGACGACATATTTGACTTGTAGGAGTCAAATGAACAATAGTAATTTTCAAACGAAAATTCTAGGGGCCCGTTCACTTCATGTATCCCACTCGAATACAGCCCACTCGAATTGAATTTTGGGTTGCGTTTTACGTTCATTAACCAAAACTCGAGTGTGAAACTCGAGTAATAACTCTGATTTCAGAGTTTGGCACACCACTCGTTTTTCCATTACTGCAGTGTGCTTCTACAGTGTTTTCATGTGCTTGAACAGTGCAGATTCCTGATTTCTTCCCGTTGCTGCCTCGTTCCTGCCTCCCCAGTGCAGATTTCTCTATGCTTTTTGCCCGCTGGACCCTGGTTCCTGCCTCCCCCTTCTAATTTCACTCTGAAAAAAGCTATTGTCTGCAGATTTTTAGAGTGAAAATTGACTCTCTCCATTGGGGGAAGGTTACTCGAATCGGTTACTTTGTCGATCCGCAGCGAAAAAAGGTAAACCTCTCCCCTATTTCCACCATTTTTGCTTCGATTTCTTGTTGCATGCCCAACCCTAGAAGTGTTCCCCGCCCCTGCCCTTGAATCTTCATCACGGATACCATTCATCCGCCTCGATGCAACCGGCAAACTCCGTTGGCCGTCTTATTGCGTCGATGTAGAGTCAAACGGAAGAATCTTGCATCTACTGGTTATCTTCCGTTGAGAGGTTACCATCGGCGGTTCCGGTGTCAAGCCGTCGTACGCGCTGCCTCACGATCGCGTTTGGGGGTTTTGATAGACGATAAGCCTTTGTCCTCAACTGGTTCCAACCGGGTATGATATTTCACAACTACTAATCTCCTATATACCATTATTTGTTCTGGATTTGTCATGATCGCACCGTAGTTCTTCTTCGTTTTCACTGATTTGATGCTGAGATATTGGTTGTCGTTTGCATTGTGATGGAAACGTGAGACATATTCCTTGTCGTTTGTATTGTGATGCTAATGTGTAGTGAGACCACTGTTGTCGTTCGCAGTCACGATGTTCTCTTACTTGTTGTCGTATTGCCTCAACTGTTGTCGTTTGTCCCTGTGGCTATTGCATCCCCTGTTCTCGTATTGCCTTGGCTGTTGTCGTTTTTACCTTAGCTTGTTTATTCCCCTGTTGTCGTATTGTCTATCCTATTGCCGTTTTACCTTAGATTATTGCCTACCCTGTTGTCGTATTGGCTGTCCTGTGGCCATTTTTACCTTTAGCTTATTGCCTCCCTTGTTGTCGTATTGTCTCTCCTGTTGCCATTTATACATAAGCTTATTACCTACCCTGTTGTCGTATTGGCTGTCCTATGGCCGTTTTTACCTTAGATTATTGCCTCCCTTGCTATCGTATTGGCTTTCCTGTTGCCGTTTATATCTTAGCTTATTACCTGCCTCCCCTGTTGTCGTATACTATCTCCACTGCCGTTTATACCTTAGCTTATGGCATCCCCTATTGTCGTATATTCTCTCCATTACCGTTTTTACCTTAGGTTATGGCATCTCCTATTGTTGTACTGGCTCTGCTGTTGCCGTTTTTACCTTAGCTTATGGCATCTCCCATTGTTGTACTTGCTGTGCTGTTGCCGTTTTTACCTAGCTTATTGCCTCCCCCTGTGGATGTATTGGCTCTGCTGTTGCTGTTTTTACCTTAGCTTATGGACTCTCTTATTGTTGTATTGGCTATCCTGTTGCCGTTTTTACATTAGCTTATTGCCTCCCCTGTGGATCTACTGCCTCTGCTGTTAGTGTATTGACTCCCCTATGGTTGTATCGCACATGACCGCTTAACAAACAGGTAATGTTGGCAATGATGAAATTGGTTCAAAAATTAGAACACTCGTCGTAGTGGCGTCCTGTAGGCAATGTGACAGTTAGTTATCGCTTCATTGGAATTTATCGAGTGCCTCTGAAGCATGGCAGCTACGTCACTCCTGCTTATAAGGATGATGCTCCGAGTGTTGTTGCGATTTCTCAGCTACAAAATTTCTGAGCCAGTAATAACATTGCCTCACTTGTTACATGTATAAACCAGGTAATAGTACGTTGGTTAATGGCAGTGATGTTCGAAAAATGTTCGGAGCCATTTATAACTGTGTCTAGTCGTTAGATTGTTTCAAATATCTGACTCACGCGTACGGCCATTCTTCTTGTGCGTCGTTACGCTTCTTTCTTTCCTATTTTTAGATGCCGAGAGGGAAACCCGACGATGAAGCCACTCTACACTGGACTGAAAGGCAGAAAGAGGAGTTGCTTATGCGACTCGCTGCCTACAATCGTGATGCCAACGGTCGAAAACCGGATTCTAAAACATGGGAGGATTGGGCGCAACATCTTCAACAGTTCTTTAAGGATCAAGTCACCCCTGCCAAAGTGCAGCAGATGAAAGTCCGACTCAAAGCCAAGTTTGACCATGAGCTTACATTACGCAATAACACAGGACTTGGCTGGGACCCTGTTACCGGTGCTGTGACATGCACTGATGAATATTGGGAAGATTTTGCCAAGGTAAACGTCTAAACAATTATTGTTCTATGGGTAGTCAATTCTTGCAATATTTTGCCAAGGTCATTTTGTTTGCTCATTCATATGCAGAACAAGAAATGGGCAAAATCGGCAAAGAATCAGCCTCTTAAAAATTGGGACTTGTACTATGAGGCCTTTGGTGGTACGAGGGCAAGTGGGGCATTTGAGAAGGGATTGGATAATCCAACGAACATAGATGAGGGTCCAGTACACATCTCCGACGAAGAAAGGGCGACATCTGATGAGGGTGGCAGCGAAGATGGTTTCATTGCCTCCATGCGGGCCGGTTTGAACAATGCAGCTAGAGGTCTCAACATTGCGTCATCCTCCAAAGCGATTGGCAAGAAATCAGCCAAGTCCTCACATAAGGTAATATGTGACCCTGTAGCGAGGGATTTAATCGGCAAGCTTGTCTCTTCTATTGAAAGCAAGCGTAGTAGTCGCACTAAAAGCTCTAGTGCGAATCAAGCTGCGCCTATTGTCGATCTCCAGGACCAATGCCAGGGCATAGTTAGGGAAATGGCGCTTGATGATGAAACCGCAATAATGTTTTTGGAGGCTATTGCTTGGTATCCAAATATGCAGAAGCTGTTCGTGGGAATGAGTGATACTCAACGTAACTTCTTCGTGACAAGAACAATCAGTATGTCTAGGACTCAATCACATGGACCTTTCTCAAACCCCCATGCCTCTACGGGGACACAGTTTATGCCGCCACAATTTCCCAACTTCATGTCACAACCCAGCAGCTATATGCAACCGGCTCCCTTCTATGGCCAACAACCCACCAACAATATGCCACGGCCCCCAAACTTTGGGGGACAACAACCTGTCCCACCATTTCCTACAAATCCCCAAAACTACAATCCCCAACAACCGGCTGCGTATAATCCCCAAACACCATACTACATGCCTCACTTTCCGCCGCAACCGGGACACTTTGGTGGCGATGGCAGTCCAGACCAGCATTGAGTTCCATAAAATATTGTTTTTACCATTGTCTGTATTCATACGATTGAACATCATTTCTCATTTTTAGATTTCAACATAGTATTTGAGTAGACTTTGCTAATTATGTTTACTACGGCCCTGCTGGTGTTGTATTGATTATGGTTATTGAGTTGCATTGCGCAGAACAATATTTATTGATGTACTATGTGTAGTCACCTTTACTTGCGGATCAAATGACCATTTCATATATATTCGTTTGTTATCCTTTCATTATGCATGTCTCGCAGGTAGCAATGTGGAATGCAGGTCCCTCAAACCACGTTCCTGAAAATGATGATAGTGACGACTCAGATGACGATTATGAGATTGCGGCAGTAGCAGTAGTTTTGTGGTATTACTACACATACATGGAAAGACCCCTGCCTCAACCAAAGCATACATCCGCACTCACAGGTATAATGCGTGTTCAATACCTACTTGATGGACATGAGGACGTTATTAGGTCGAAGATTAGAATGGGAAGTGATTGTTTCAAGCGTCTTAGTACGT